TCTCCGTTCATGCACATTGCACCGAACTCTTGCAATTTCTTTCATTGCGTAATTGTATCCTTCCCTCATGACCAATAGCGGATGAATCATAGCCTTCCCCTCCACATTAGGTTGTCACACATGTTGGGTACAAACGAGAGCTATGAGGTCTCATGAATCGCTACAAGATACCTTTGGTCCTTATCATACGATTCCGTGAGGAGGAGTGGTGTTGGGGGGATGGTAAGTAGTAAGAGATGATCGGGACGCAATAAAGCTATCCGAACCCCAAACACATCCTCGACGGGCACTCCGAGCCAAGAGAACAATCCTTTGACGGTTTATCTCAATTCTTTGCCCGGTTGTCACTCACGTGGGAACCTCTCTTCTATTTTTAAGCAAAAATTGAAAAATTTCCTAGTTCACATAAAAGGAGAGAATCCCATAGACAATGCTTTCCTAAGATAGCAGCACTATCGACTCACACTAGAGAAGGAAAGTAGTAAAATTCCTCACGTACCGATACTCAAACCATGCAAATATCACCTAAGATGCACAACACATCGATCAATCTAGTCAAATCAAAGCACATCGAGTAGTTAATTGCAAGGACAAGGTGTTTTGGAACCCTCAAATTTTGAAAAAAATTGGGTCTGCATTCAAGGTTCCAAAAACTTTAATATTTCACCATTCATCACCACAACAAAGGCATGATCACTAGCATACGCTCCCATAAGCATTCATCAACATCTTACATTCACAAACAAGGGAGGATACTAGCAATAAACGGTTGCACCAATCATGATAAACACTCAAACATGCACAAACCTCCCCCTACACTTGAACAACACATTATCCTCAATGTGGGAGTTTGCCAAGAAAATATCGTGAATATAACCATAGGTCGGGTTGTGGGTTGGTGAAGGTTCACAAGTGTAGTCTTTGTCTTCTTGGTGGTTTTCACAACGATAAAGCGCATAAGATAGAGAGGAAGAAGAATAGGAGTTATAGGTATGATATATAGATAAATATAATAAGTACTACTACTACTAGCGAGAGAATATTTAAGGTACTGTGTAGTATCTTAAGTTTCAACTTCAAGACATCAAATGATATAGGAAAGGTCCTGCGATCCAATCGAAATTGTACAACCCCGAAGTCAACTTGGAAATATTTGGCAAGTCGGGTGACTTACACTCCTCTATGGAGTGCGACAAGTCAGCGATCCGTCTCGTAATGCTTGAAAATAGATAAAATTGATAGACCGAGATGGAGAGATTGTGGGAGGCACGTGCTATGAAATAGGGTGATGTCTCGGGCGGTGAGATTGCCCTTGCTCTGGTTCTTTCCTCCCACGGACCTAGCAATCACGTGGTGGATGAGCCGCCACTCCGATTTCACCTCAATGGCTTTTGATAGTCTCATGTCCCATTATCGGCTCTCGGATTTCTTGACTTCAGACTCATAGAAGGCCTTGAAACAAGAGAAGTCATATTTCCTTGTCTAGGTGGCAAAATCATTAGGTAAATCAATATAATGAAGCTCGCCGGTAGATGTCCATTTCTCAAGTGAACTCTCGGATTGAGATGTGACGGTACTCCCCTCCGAGTTGAAACTGAATGTTATCCTCAAGTTCAGTGGCACCCCTCATGAACAAGCACCCGATATATGTGTTCTTGAATGGAGAGCAACTCGAGCCATTTCAATTTCTGTACTTTAGAGAGGATTGCATCTTCAATTCCAATTTGGGAAAAAAGAAGTTTGCTCTTGAATTGCTCGGATACATGCTCTAAAAGGTAGTGAGTGATATGTTCTACGCCGCCTTCATCATATTGAGGAACAACCCTTGATTGATGTTCAACTTGTGATAGTGGATGAGTTTCTTCTACAACCACTTCCTTTGACTTAGACTTCCTTAATTTCTTCTTTTGACCTTGGCGAGGACGAGATGTTCGAGAGGATGAGCTCTCACCATGATTCATGCCTTTAGTCTTGTACATTATCCTTCAAAACAATTGGTACACATAGGCATAAATCATCAACCCAAACATCAAGCATTAATCGGGTAGAATACAATAAGGTATCATGAAATTTCTAAGTTTCCCCCAGACTTGAATGTGACTAAGAACTTGGCAAAAGAGGGAAATTGGATATAAAAATATCTCTAAAATAGTAAGAAGGATATCCCCAAATTGATGTAGGAACAATCAATGACCAACACCCCATGCAATGAAATTGATGCTTAACCCAAAGTAATGCAAATAATGAACTTTATGTGGTTGGGGACTTTTCACAAACACTTGGTGGGTGGTAGTTGAAGATGACATAAATGCATGGGAACAGCCCACCAAGACATCAAAAGTGACATAGAGGGTTCATTAAAGAAAAGAAAAAAAATCTCATGCCATCAAGATGTCATTCCAAGTATAAAATGGGCATTATAGACTCTAAGCAATCAACACATGTTGGGTAAGGTAAGACAATTAAATAGAGTCAAACACGGAAAAGTGTACTTTTATCTTGCTAGGGGACATGGTGGGAATCCAAAATCAATAGTAAATCCTTCTCAAAAGTTGTTGAAAGATGAGATTAAAGAAGGTGGGTTCAAAAAGTCAAGAGATTTGGAGAGTAATGACATATAGATCTAGAGAATGGTGAAAAAGTGACACTTAGATCTAAAGAGGCTGTCAATGCTTAAATAGGGATGGGTAAGATCGTGGGCGGGGCACCCAAGATTGCGGCCGCGATCTTTGCCTTGTTCACAACAACTCATTTTCTCCACGTATCTTTGTTCAAGCATTCATCCAAACATTCAATCAAGGGTTTCTAGAAGCTTCTTGCGCTTTGGACATCGGCAGCCCAACGGCGGGTTCTGGCGCGGTCCTTCTTCTTCTTAGATTGGATTGCTTGTGGGTCAAACATCTCCTAAAATTTTGGGTTTGAGCTGAATGTTTTGGGCTAGCAACAGTTGGACCCATCTGTAAGCCGCCATCGATTCCTTCTCCAGTTTTGCCCGAGCTTTCTCCATTGGGCTCCTCTTGGGTTCTAGCTATGACTTCTAGAAGACTTCCTCTCCTTCAGGATTCGTCTAATAGGTGAAAACCCCTTGATCTTCTCAAATTTAATCCATTTATCCTCCACAATCATCCATGCTTTGATCCAAAGTATAATAAATTGTGTTTTTACCTTGAAAAGCACATGAATAGTTATGATATTCCTATGAATTTAAGTAAAAATTCCAAAAGTTACAAAACAAAATTTAGGTATAATAATAGCTCGTTGATCAAATACTTATGATGTTCATATGAATTTAAGTAAAACTCGATGCATCTTTAGGATTTTTTCATGGCGCATACGAGCTATTATTATTCATATGAATTTAAGTGTTATCAGTCCAAAAGTTACAAAATGATGTTCATATGAATTTAAGTAAAAAATCCAAAAGTTACAAAATTTTGTTTAGGTATAATAATAGCTCGTGATAGAACGGGAAATGTATCAAATATGGGAGTGATAAACACAAAATTTGAGTGTTATCAGTCCCAGCCTGTGACTTTGATAAGATACCCTGTTCACCAAAATTTTGTAACTTTTTCAACTTATCCATGCCCCAAACTCGATGCATTGGGTTACTTCTAATGAGCGCTTCTTTAACATCGTTAGCTGGATGCAGCTAGTGGAGCTTGATTCAGTGGTGGCCGCCTCTCAACCGAGATAGAGCTTGATTCAGTGCCCACTGACCATGAAAAAGCCACTATGTGGATGAGAAATCTCAACCAGACCATAGGGGAAGACTTGTGTGATCGTGAAGGGTTCCAACCAGCACGTTCTCAGCTTCCAAGGGAACAACCAAAGGCGAGAGTTGTAAAGGAGAACTTGATCGTCGGGCTGGAATTCCTTTATCCCCTTCAAAAGATCATTATGGAGAGTTTCGTTCTCTCATTATACAGTCGTGTGTCTTCATTCGCATGATATCTCCACTTATCAAGCTTTAAAACTTGCAAATTTCACTCATTTCCAACAACATTCATACCGAGGTTAAGCAGCTTAACTGACTAGAAGGACTTGTGATCTAGCTCAACTTAAAGATAGGAAGCCTTGCATAGACAAGTATGTAAGGTTAAGTACTAATAGGCGTCTTATAATTCATGGCGCATACATTATATGCTTGGTAGGCTAGTCCTTACGAGATTGATCTACCGTCTTTTCCATGATTTGATTCAAATCCCAGTTTATCAGCTCATCTTGACCACTCATTTTGAAGATGGTTTGTCATCTTATCATATTTTCTCAAAATGGGTGGTGCTTTCGCTATGATTGCTCTCGGTGTCCCAAACCTCGAGAGGAGTTATTTCACAAATTGGCAAAAATGTCTATCATCATTGGTGGGCAAAGCCTGTGCTTCTGTCCACCTCAAGGCATAGTCAACAACAATGAGATTGTACTTGTGATCAAATTAAGGAGGGAAAAGTCCCATGAAATAGATGCACCAAACATAAAAAAATTTCATCGATGATAAACATATTTTGGGTCACTATAAGCCTAACTGGAGCACTTTCTTCATTGTGTGGTACCCTCCATGATGTCTTTGGTGATAGTGGAAGAGGATCTCTTGCATGTCCATCTCTATAACACATTGGCAGAAGAATTCATTAGCACTAATCCAAAACAAGTAGGGATCATCCCATAAGTAATGACAGAGATCAGAGAATAACTTCTTCTTAGCTTGCGTGGGCATACCTTTGGGAAAATGCTTGCCAATGAGGTAGTTGGAAAAGTCTTAGAACCATGGAGTGACACTCTCAACTAAGCACATGACAAAGAGCATCTCGCGTGGGAAGGAGTCATTGATCTCCTCCTCAAAATTGTCCACCAAAGGCCCTTCAAGCATTGAGAGATGATCTGCAGTCAAGTTTGCTGCCCCTTTATCCATGATCCACGAAGCAGCAAATTAGGGTTTTTTGAGCTCCGAGTTTCACGGAGCGGCGAGCCTTCGAACGCTATCTCTCTGCTGCCTGCGCATGGTGGCCTCCGCGTCAGGGGGCGCTCCCCCTGACCGGACTGAGACGGAGATGGCGGCGGGTAGTCGGAGGCCTCCGTCAATCACATCGTCGCTGAACAAACTGACTGAGAAGGAATCGCTGCAGCTGCACAAACGCGCCAAACCTTCATCCGCGACCCAGCTGTTCGTCACGGACGCGATGGCCGAGGATTTCCCAGCGGGAGAGGGAGGAAAACCCTCCTACGTCAGCCTTGAACAGCAAGAAGAGTATCAGTGAACTTATGGCTGATAACGCATGGTATGTCGCCGAGTCAGATACGGAGGATGTCCATGAAGCAATGAGGGAGGAAGATTTGGACGAAGAAGTCCCGGAAGAGGATGATCCTCACTGCCCAATCATCCCGTTCAATGATATGGAGAAAGCTCGTTATCGTCGTAAATGGCGTTCTGCCCTAATTGTCAAAGTGTTGGGACGGACATTTCCCTTCCCGGTGTTGTCAAAGAGACTTGAAACTCTGTGGGCGAAACATGGTGGCCTCCAAATTTCGAGTATGTCGTTTGGATTCTACGTTGTCCGATTCACAAGTCAAATGGACTACGAGCAGGCCGCAGTGGCGGTCCTTGGATGATATGGGGACACTACCTGACTGTTAGACCATGGAGGAAGGGCTTTGATCCCCCGACTGCTGAGGTTGCTTCGACCATGGTATGGACACGCCTCCCCAATCTCCCCCTGGAGTTTTTTTATCAGGAAGCGATTGAAAGAATTGCCCAAAGGATTGGGAGACCGGTTCGAGTGGATCGAGCAACACTCACAGAAGAACGTACCCAATACGCTTAAGTTAGCGTGGAAGTGGACCTGACTAAACCCCTACTCGAGAGCTATAGAATTGAGGGTAAGAAATACTACATCGAGTATGAGGGTTTGCATAATATATGCACGGAATGCGGAAAGTATGGTCATGCAAAGGCTACGTGCCCTTCACTTTTCGTCCCGACAGCTTCACCAGCCCGTGAACATCCTAAGGACACACCTAGTCAGCCGACCACAGTACAAACTCAGGAGCCTGTGTATGGGGACTGGATGATCGCTAAACCTAAGAGTAGGCGTTCTAGCAAGCAGGTGCAAGGGATTAAAAAAGAGTTCAAAAGCTTTAGTGACTATGAATGCAAGGGATGAGGGAGAGGAGACCTCTCAACTAGGGTTGGCTAAAGAAGCAGCTGAGGTGATGTGCCCTGACCTCCCGCCATTGTGTACGGAAGATGCGGCCTCACACGAACTGAGTACGACCTCAGTTAGGCCAACTTAAGAGTCAGACAAGAGAATGAGCAGTAACCCCTCTCCTCTTTTAAATGGGCTCGTCATTGTACCCATCTTTGCGGCCACGCATCCCGCATCGACTCAACGCCAATTGGCAACTGGACAAAAGACTGGTGCGAAATCCCAGGCAAAGGGTAAGGGTAACACACCTGTCAAGCTCCCACCTATTGCGGGTAAAGGAGCAAAGTCAGTACCGAATCAACAGTCTGGTTCTTCGGGCCTTCATTCACCTGCAAACACAGGGGCGAGTCAGATTATTACCTCTTTGGAGGAAAGTGTTCCACCGGAGAAGAGGAAGGAGACTCCTCCCCCGCCTACGTGATTCTGCACTTGTCTGCGCGTGCGGGGAAGTCTTTTTCTTTTATTCCTTTCAAATTATGTTAGATATATTGTCTTGGAACTGCTGGGGGGAGGCAACGACCAATTTCTCACTTTCTTGTTGAATTTTTGTGGGTTGTCGAAACCAGATTTAGTATTTATTTTGGAACCTAAAATCAGTGGTGATGTTGCTGGTCATGTTGTTGCTCGCACAGGTTTCGATGGTCATCTGAAGGTGGATTCTATAGGGTTCTCTGGGGCATATGGGTTCTTTGGCATAAGAACGTCATTTCAGTAACGTCAATCTATGAATGGGAGCAGATGATTCACATGAAGTGTACTAAGAACAATAATCCTGGGGTGGAGGTATTGGTTTTAGCGATGTATGGTAGCCCGAATGCCTCTCGTCGGGAAGACCTGTGGAGGGAAGTTGTCGGATCTCGAGTGGGGTTTCAAATCCCTGGGTCCTGGTGGGTGATTTCAACAGTATTCTGGGCCCGTCTGACCGAATGGGAGGTGCAGGTTATCAGGAGGCATGTACCCGGTCATTCAGGAGATGCGTTACCGACTGTGGTTTGATGGAAATCGGATTCACAATGCCTCGGTTCACATGGCGACGGGGTAACTTATATCAGCGTCTGGACCGCGCCCTTTGCAACAAAGCCTGGTTCTCCAAGTTCCAAACTTCATCCACCCGCCACTTGGAGTGGCTAGGCTTTGATCACCGACCAATTTGGCTAAAAAGATCTCAAAAAGACAAGCGCAATGGCAACCGCCCTTTCAGATTTCTGGCGGCCTTGATGGGACATGATAGTTTTCAGGAAGTGCTCAGTAAATCCTGGCAGGACAATGGCTTTTCCCCGGTGGAACTGGGTCAACTCTCCTCTGTACTGCATGAATGGAATAAGTAGACGTTTGGGCACATTTTACACAGGAAACAGAAGTTGTGCAAAAAGCTGAGGCAGCTCGAAATGCGGAATGAGGACCAAGCCACCCTGACCTCGTTACGGGAGGAGGAAGAGACCCGCAAGCAACTTGAAGAGACGCTTTGGCAGGAGAACCTTCTCTGGTTGCAAAAATCGAGAGCTATTTGGATTGTGGACGGAGACATGAATACGAAGTTCTTCCACTGTCAACTTTGAAGCGCAGGAGATTCAACAAAGTTCTTGAGTTGCGCACAGCGGAAGGAACTTGGGTCTTCGATGAAACAAAACTACAGAAGATGGCTCGTGACTATTTTTGTCTCATTTTCACAGCAGGTCCCGACACGATGATTCGCCCGCCGGCGGATTTCGTGAAGATCAGCGATCGAGATGGTGACAGACTGGTTAGTCCAATCACCCATGAGGAGGTTTGGCAGGCTCTTAAGAGCATGGGGGGTTTCAAAGCTCCGAGGAAAGATGGCTTTCCACCTATCTTTTTCCAAAAATGCTGGAACAAGGTTGCACCCTCCTTTGTTCAATTTGTTTCAGGTTGCCTGGATGATCCGACTCGTATCTCCTTGGTGAACTCTACTCTTATTTGTCTAATCTCGAAGAAAGAGAGCCCGGAGCTTATCAATAAATTCCGGCCCATTGGTCTATGTAATGTAGTCTATAAGACTTTTGCTAAAGTCCTCGTAAACCGGATCAAATTCTTTATGCGGGATCTTATTCATCCGACCCAAACGAGCTTTGTTCCGGGTAGACACATCACGAATAACATCATCATTCTGCAGGAAGTTATTCATTCTATGGGTCTCAAAAAAGGGAGGAAAGGTCAGATGGTGTTGAAAATTGATCTAGCCAAGGCGTATGATCGCCTAAGCTGGAATTTTTTGAGACAGACGCTGGTAGAAGTGGAATTGCCTGTGAAGTTAATTGAGGGTATCATGCAGTGTGTTACTTCATCAAGGATGCAAGTCTTGTGGAATGGAAATCTGACGGAGGACTTTGCTCCATCTCGTGGCCTGCGGCAGGGCTGTCCGCTCTCTCCCTACTTATTTACTTAATGCATGGAGCGTTTGAGTCATACCATCGAACGCCAGGTTGAGAGAAAGAAGTGGAAGTCGATCCGGACAGATTGGCACCACGATTGTTAGCGACTTGGAGTTGCCGATGACTCAGGATCTAGGACGTTACCTGGGGGGTACCTGTGCTACATGGCCGGGTAAACAAGATGACTTACATATATATCCTAGACCGCCTGGAGAAGAAGTTGTCTGGGTGAAAAGCGAAGAACCTTAGCTTTGCAGGGCGGGTAACTTTGGTTGTCTCAGTGTTGAATGCTCTTCCAGCTTATGCGATGCAGACTACCTTGCTCCCCCAATCCATATGCGATACCATTGACCGGAAAATTCGAAGCTTTATCTGGGGGAGTTCGGAAGGAGAGTGCAAGGTGCATCTTGTCCATTGGGAGGCGGTTTGCCGTCCGAAAAAAGAGGGAGGACTGGATCTCCGCAGTGCCCATGAGTTGAATCTTGCTTTCCTGTCTAAGGTAGCTTGGTCTTTTGTTAAGAATTCAGATGAATTGTGGGTCCCTGTGTTGCAGGCCAAATACTTCAGGAAAGTGCACGGTGTTCTCGAGTACAAGTCTTCGGTACGACACTCGAATTTGTGGAGAGGAGTGAAGAAAGCATGTCTGATCATGTTGACAGGCATGCGCATGAATATCAGGGATGGGCAAACCACTTCCTTCTAGATGGATAGGTGGACTGATTGCAGAGACCTCCTACTCAATCTCGCAAAGGAGGATGGGCCGGCAGTGGATCCTTCCCAACCTGTCGCAATTTTTGTGGACCAAAATGGTGAGTGGGATCTTCCTCGGTTGCATTCTTTACTACCTAAAGAAGCTGTTTTGCAGATACTGGGGATCCAGCCACCTCAACCCCTTGCAGGAGAGGATAGTATGACTCAGGGCCCAGAGCAGGAGGATCATTTTCGAGTAAGGTCGGCTTATGACATCGCCAAGGGAGAGGTGGACAGGTGGTGGACTTTCGATTGGCGTACGATATGGAAGTGGAGGGGCCAAGCCCGTGTCAACCACTTTCTCTGGCTGGCTGTTCGGAACAGACTTCTAACAAACCAGGAACGGACGAGGCGACATATTGCGGATTCTCCTATGTGTGGCTACTACTGCAAGCAACATCCCGAAACAGTCCTGCATGTGTTGCGGGATTGTTCCTTTTCAAGGTTAACTTGGTTGCGTCTCACTCAGCTTTCTGATCAACACAACTTTTTTGACAGTCATCTTCAGGATTGGGTTCTTCAGAACATGGCGCGAGAGCATACTAGCTTGGATTTTGGTCTCATCTATTGGTCCCTGTGGAGGGCCAGGAATGATCGGGTCTTTTCAGGCAAGACCATCACCACGGAAGCTTTTCTACAGTGTATCCTGGCTTGGATAACCATCGTGAGGCAGGCCATGGATAAAGACAGGCTTGTTCATATGCCGAGTCTGCCCATGAGAACGGAGGTTGAGATCTCGTGGAAGCCGCCACCTCCTGAGTGGGTTACTCTCAATTTAGACGGCTCTGTCCTTCAAGATTCAGGTCATGCAGCAGGTGGCCTGATAAGAGATCATACTGGATGCTGTGTTGCGGCATTCGCAAGTAACTTCGGGATTTGTTCTATCACCCGAGCAGAATTGAGAGGAGATGTAGAAGGGCTTCAGTTGGCCTGGGATCGAGGCTACCGTCGGGTCCGTGTCGAGCTGGATTCTAAGTGCGCCATTCAGCTTCTTCACAGCCTAAACAGCAATCTTCATCATGCTGCTATCACTGATCGATTCCAGGAGCTATGTTCACGAAACTGGGAGGTCTCGTGCTACCATATCTATAGAGAGGGCAATAAGTGTGCCGACTATCTTGCTAGTGAGGGCATTCCCTCCCATTGGGTTTTCACCTTGTTCCTGATCATAGTTTATATCACATTCTCATGTATGACTGTCAAGGCCTTTCCGAGCCTCGTTGTGTTTTGAATGATAGCTGAGATACGTCGCATCCATTTATAAAAAAAAAATCTCTATGCCAAACTCTTTTATGAGCAAGATCCATCTTATGAGCCTAAGCTTGGAATCTACCTTGCTCATACGGAATTTGATCACATAATGATTTGTATACACCATGACATAACACAGTGCAAGATAAGGTCGAAACTTATCAAAGGCATAACCACTATAGGCAACTCCTTCTTATTTGTGGTTTAGTTTCTTGGGCATCATTAAGTGCTTTGAGGCATAGTAAATAGGTTGGAAATTCTTGTCTCACCTATATCGAAAACTGCTCCTACGATGTAATCATTGACATCACACATAATCTCGAGAGGGAGGTTCG